GGTAGCTACCTGTATCATCCTACCCCTGGTAGCTACCTGTATCATCCTACCCCTGGTAGCTACCTGTATCATCCTACCCCTGGTAGCTACCTGTATCATCCTACCCTTGCGTCTTGCTGCCCTCACAAGGCCTTGGTAACTGTCTGGCTAATTCATGCTTTTTGTCACGCCGGTAAATTACATTTTCCTGCACCAGGGGGCTCTGGCTGTTAATAATTCAGCGATTGTATGATGCTCGTGGTTGTGTAATGTGTAGTGGCAGATTTAAATTATTGATACAAGTTCAATACGGTTAAATAATAGTAATAATATTAACAGTGTTAAATAATAATTAAAATTGTCATTAATTTTCACTCGACAGTCTCGGCTTGCTTTCGCAGGTCTTTCTAAAAAAAGCGTGGTTAATTTATTTGTTATTTTAATCGTGTGATGGTCCGTGTTTTTTCAGTTTGAAGAGTTCTACAACACGAGTTTCAGTGGAAGGAAGTTAAGTTGGCTTCATCATCTATGTACAGGTACGTGTTGCACCGGTGCAGCAGCATCTATGTACGGGTACGTGTTGCACCGGTGCAGCAGCATCTATGTACAGGTACGTGTTGCACCGGTGCAGCAGCATCTATGTACGGGTACGTGTTGCACCGGTGCAGCAGCATCTATGAACTTTATATATATCCCTTATCTTCTGTCTCCCGCTACCTTTAGTTGTAGTATTTTAGACTTTCCTGCTGTATAAGTATATTCCCTCAGTTACACATCTGATTGCAGCAGACTCGCTTAGACAGTGCGAGGAAACGAAACACGATAGCATAACTATTAATTATTAAAATCGATTTGCATAATTAATAAATTAAGTAAATTTGCAGCACGGTCGTAGAGTAATTGACGATAAATCTAACGATAGACTGCCTAGAATGTCATCATCGTAGTGATTAAAGGCCAATTAATTACAGCACGACTAACGATCGTCACTCGTTTGCAGCTGAACTGAAGATGTCGTACCTTCGTAAGTCGTACATCGTTACCGTGGGAACGTATCAGATGAGCATCCTTCTGATGTTCAACTCGGCGGATAGCGTCGCGTATCGCGAGCTCATGGAACATTGTCACATGCAGGAGAAAGAATTCAACAAACAACTGCAGTCACTACTAGAGGCAAAACTGCTTAACTCTGATGCTGAGGTAAGTTATTGTAATTATGAGGTAAGTTATTGTAATTATGAGGTAAGTTATTGTAAGTCACTGTACTGTAACATTGTGTTGTTCAGAAAGTCGAGGAACAATATCTCTAATGCTTGTGAGATGTGGTGCCATGTGTCCCTGGCTTGTTCAGGAAATAAATAACAACAACGGAGCAAAACTTAAAACCCTATTCCAACGTTAACACATGTACATACTCTGTTATTTATTCTTACATATTATTATTTATTACATACATTATTCTCATTATTCATACATTCATTCAATAAATTGTGAACAACAGGACTCGACGGTACAATTGCATTGATTGGTTGATTATTTAGCAGTAGCAGCTCGCTCATTGGTTGATTAACAGAACACGTGATGCAACTTCAAATTTTCCTCGTTTGTTCTTGATTTTTTTGGTATAGTGTAAAGCGTAGCCATGTTGTGTTATAACGTCCATTGTAATAGACGAAGTATTCATTAAGGGAACATAACGTCGTTTCATAGGATATCTGACTGTAGCCTAGCAATGTGTGTGAGTGTGTGAGTGCGTGTGTGCGTGAGTGCGTGTGTGCGT